TTGATGCTGAATGCGATAATAATTGCAGTAAATTTTTAAAATTAAATGTAATTTTTAAATGCATCACAAAGCGCATATGATGCATATGTTTGCTTTGTATTGTGTCAAAGAGCATCTCAATGTTATTAATTAATACTTATATTTATTTTTAAAGATGACATCAGTATTGCAGTTTTGTGTTTTTTACCAACAGTATACTTGTGAAAAAATGACAAAATTAACTTCCAGCAGATCTATGCATTTGTAATTTAAAGTCATTCTCGTTTGGGAAAACAAGCCCAAAAAGTTTTGATGAAGATTTCTTCAATTAATTCTATAATGCAGAAAAATATCTAGAATTAAAAAGTTGACTTCAGTAGCAAATCATGGTTGCAAATAAAGGCTATTTAAAGAAAAAATGGGAAATACATACATACACTATTGATCAAAAGTTTAGGGTCCGTATGATTTTTTTTCCCTCAAAAGAAATTCATACTTTTATTAATCAAGGATGCATTAAATGTATTAAAAGTGCCAGTAAAGATATTTATAATGTTTCAAAAGATTTATATTTCAAATAAATGCTGTTCTTTTGAACTTTCTGTTCATCTGTGAATCCTGAAAAATAAAATGTATCACGGTTTCCACAAAAATATTGTGCAGCACAACTGTTTTCAACATTGATAATAATCAGAAATGTTTCTCGAGCAGCAAATCAGCATATTAGAATGATTTCTGAAGATCATGTGACACTGAAGACTGGAGTAATGATGCTGAAAATACAGCTTCGCATCACAGAAATACATTACAGTTTAACAGAGATTCACATAGAAAACAGCTGTTTTACATTAGAATAATATTTCACAATTTTCTGTATTTTTGATCAAATAAATGCAGCCTTGGTGAGCAGAAGAGATAAAAACATTAACAAATCTAGTGATTATAAAGTGCTGTATGTGTGGTTGAGTTACCGGCTCAGATCTGTTCATTAAGCTGCAGTGATGTGTTCTCAGTGGTTTGTCTCTGGTTCGGTCTGGTCTTCAGCAGGGTGAGGTGGACTGCTGGCCTCTGTCCTGCCCGCCGGTGGACTGTGTCTTCACGCTGGTGCCCGAGGGAGAGTGCTGCCCGCGCTGCGTCTCAGACCCGTGCCAAGCTCAGGCCGTCCACAACGACATCACCAAGACCTGCGAGGACAAGCACGGGATCACACGCTTCAGCGGATCGTCCTGGATCAAACACGGCACCGACTGCACACTGTGCCAGTGCAAGGTGATCACTCACTCACTCACTCACACACACACACACACGCACAATCACACGCACGCACACACACACACACGCACAATCACACGCACGCACACACACACACACGCACAATCACACGCACGCACACACACACACACGCACAATCACACGCACGCACACACACACACACGCACAATCACACGCACGCACACACACACACACGCACAATCACACGCACGCACACACACACACACGCACAATCACACGCACGCACACACACACACACGCACAATCACACGCACGCACACACACACACACGCACAATCACACGCACGCACACACACACACACGCACAATCACACGCACGCACACACACACACACGCACAATCACACGCACGCACACACACACACACGCACAATCACACGCACGCACACACACACACACGCACAATCACACGCACGCACACACACACACACGCACAATCACACGCACGCACACACACACACACGCACAATCACACGCACGCACACACACACACACGCACAATCACACGCACGCACACACACACACACGCACAATCACACGCACGCACACACACACACACGCACAATCACACGCACGCACACACACACACACGCACAATCACACGCACGCACACACACACACACACTTTTAATTAGATCAGATTATTAGATCAGTCTGATTCATTGTGGTGATCAAATAGAATGCAATGCAGTAAAAAAAAATGCAATATAAATATTGATTTTTTTTTGCAATATAATGCAATAAAAAATAAAATGCATAGCAAAAAAAGAGAAAAATGCAATGCAAAGCAATACAATAAAATGCAATAAAATAAAATATTACACAATGCAAAAAAATAAAACGCAATGCAAAAAATGGAAAATGCAATGCAAAGCAATAAAATAATAAAATAAAAACGCAATAAAATAAAAAATGCAAAATGAAATAACTGGAATATACTTATTGAAGTTTTAAAAAAAAAGTTTTTTTTTATATCGCAGACACTGAATTAGATGATCAAATACACAAACAGTGATTTATTGTGGTAAATATATTTCTGTAATTTTTCCCTCTGTGTGATGTATTGTGTCTCTGTCTCTTCTCCAGAACGGACACATCTGTTGCTCAGTGGATCCCATGTGTCTTTAGTCTCTGCGTCGACGCTAACAGCACCTGTACAGTCTCACGGCCCTCCCTCCACGACCTTCCCCAAATAATGCCAAATATGAATCGTGTATAATATCAGACAGACGCCAGCGTACCTGAGGAGGCCATTTCTGCACAAACAAGGACTATAAACCCATCGAAACACGACCACGCACACGCCGGCATGACCACACTGGATGTTTAAAGAATAAAACATTCATTTTTATCTCTTCGATGATCACAGGATGTAGACATTTTAGCTAGTAAGTAAATCTTATCCTATTTCTCTTTTGCCTGGTTATGGAAGTCGATGCTATTTTGTTGGTGTTTTCACCGCACTTTTTTCGATTAGCTTTCTGTGTCTGTTTTTCCGTCTAGGTTTTAAATTATTATATGGCTTGTTCTTGTCTGATGGTGAATAAAATATCTTCATTTCCATTTATGGATGCGTTGACTTCTCATTTCCCAGCGGCGCGTGACGTTTCCCCAATATGTCGATTTGTTTGTTTGAGCTTGTTTTTGTCTGTTTGTGTGATCGTCTAATCGCAGGATTGTTTGCTGGATTCTAAACAAACAAACAAACAAACAAGAAAACAGACAGACTGAACCAGATTTCTTCTCCGACTGGGATTTGTTCTGTGCATTAAGAGCAGTCGAATACTGTGGCGTTCAAATAAAATAAAATGTAATGCAATGCAATTCAAAGCAATAAAATGAAATAAAATACAGTACAATAAAAAATTAATATTTCAAAAGTAACCATAATATACTTTTATATCATTACTATTATTTAAATGCATATAATATATAATTTATTCAGTGTAATTTATTCAGTTTGATTATAATTTATTCAGTCTGATTCACTGTGGTGTTCAAATGTAATAAAATGTAAAACAGTGCAATGCAATAAAATAATAAATGTTAAAAATATAAATAATCATTATATATTATTATTATTATTTTGTAAATGTATATATAATTTATTAAGTCTAAATAATTCAGCCGGATTCAATGTGGTGTTCAAATGTAATAAAATTTAATGCCATGCAGTGCAATAAAACAAAATGAAAAAATAAATGAATTAATAAATAAATAAATGTTACAAAAATGAAAATACCCATAACAAACAGACAGACACAAAATCAACAGGAATATCTTCGATTGCTAGCTAGTAAGTAACTGGAAAATTAGTGTTTACTATTGTCATTTTGCATTATTGACACACTATTTTCCTAATTAATGCTGTTCAGTTGCTTTGACACAATCTGTATTGTTAAAAGCGCTATATAAATAAAGGTGACTTGACTTGACTTAAGTAAATCTTATCGTATTTCTCTTTTGCCTGCTTATGGAAGTTGATGTTATTTTGTTGCACTTTTTCCGATTAGCTTTTCTGTCTTTTTCTGTCTAGGTTTTAAATTATTATGTGACTTGTTCTTGTCTGATGGTGAATAAAATATCTCCATTGACCTTTCATGTCCCCAGCGGTTGTGTTTGCAGACCTCCACTAATGCCGTCTTACGAGGTGATCAGCGAGCGCGCTAATTAAACAGCTTTCTATGACCTTCTCCTCTTCCCGAAACATCATCATTATCTCCGATCTCTCCAGCAGCTTAAACACTCCGCCCAATCCAAATGCTTCCTGTGCCTCATTTGAATATCGCATGAATATTAAGCAGCTCATGAATATTCAGCAGAAGCGCCTGTCGCGGTCACTTGGGAAACAGACTGCTTTCCTTCAGGTCGCTGTGTGAAAAGCTGCATTGTATATTTCTGCTAATGTTTCATAAATATTAAAAGAAAAGTTTGCGGACACTCCGAAACTCAATTTCATTTGTGAAACACACACACACACACACACACACACACAAAAGTAGTTTTGTGTTCATGCCAGTGTTATTTTAGCATCGCATTAATATTATAGTTTTAACATATTATTAATATTATATTATTAACGTTATTATGTCATTCATGGAATGTTTTTTTAAAAAGTTACCAGAATGTTCAGAACATTCTTATAATGTTTGCCAAATAGTAAAACGTAACATTCAAGAAAAACGTTAAAAAAAACACGTTTAGAGAACATTCATAACTGAATGGGAACGTTTCAAAATGTTCTTAAAACATAATTTTGTTAGTATGCAAATAAAGCCGCTTATTCAATATTCAGAGCCGTGCGATAATATAGCTGTTTACATTTTGTGATGATATAAACAATCACGTGTTTGCGATTTGATATGTATTATATATTTCCCTTTACGAGAGTCAACAGGGAACGTTCTCAGCAAAGTTCTTATAGGAACGTTAATAGAACGCTCGTTCAGAGTTATCCGATCTTTAATAAAAATGATAAAATATTAAAATAAGCATATAAATAAATACTATGAGTAAAAATGTAACAATGTAGCTTAATAGAAAGAAAATATTTTCGTATAATATTTTAGACATAAATTTTAGCATGGGAGCCCCTCGTACGAGGGTGGCCTTATTTGGTGTCATCTAAACATTGAAAAGCCATGCGCTCATCTAAAAGACTCTTCAGGGTCGTGAATCGTCCTGATGTGACCTCAGCGAGCACAGAAACACAGTCGGGCCGCGTCCGGTGTCGGGGACAGATTATGAGTCCCAGCATGCAGCGGCCTGATTCCAGCTGCCTCCTAAATGACCAGTTTACTATCAGAGAGAACAACTCTCCGCGACAGATGCTACAACCTGCGGGAGCTGATATGACTGTTTCTGCTAGCTATTAACCGCCGTGCGGACTCGCATTATGTTCGGTGATGAAGTCAGCAAACGCTTGGGTTTCAGTGAGCCATGCTTCGGAGGAATCTGATTGGCTGCAGGTTTGACTGACAGCACTAAGCACCGCCCCATTCAGCTCAAAGTCAGAATTTCTTACTCAGAAGCTCTTACTTTAAAAGTGCAGCAGAAAGGCATTTGAAGTCGACTTTCAACTTGGTAATGATCAGAGTTCCTGCTTAGCAAGCGCTTGCAGAGGCAAGAGTGAAAAACAAGGTAAATGGTCTTCTCTGGTGATAATCGAATACCGGCAAATTAAAATAAGAAATAAGCATATGAATAAATAAATGCATAAATAAAAATTATAAAATATGCAAACAAATTAATAAATAAATAAAAACAGATGGAAGTAATAAAATTCCCACACTTTTAGACACGGCACAATAAATAAATAAAGTTTAGCATTTAGTACTGTACATTGAAAATAATTTAGTTTTTGTGTGTTTTTTTTATTTTTATAAAAACACAAACTGACATTTAAAGGGTTAAAATGAATTAATTTGAATGAGAATTAATTCATTTTTGATAGTTATGATCAGGACTGATGTCGGTAAAAATATCTACGTCAGAGAAATCAATAAATAAATAAATTAATAAATTAAGTTTAGCATTTAGTATACTGAAAATAATTTAGTTTTTGTGTGGTTTTACTTATAAAAAAGCTGGCATTTAAGGGGTTATAAAAACACAAACGGGCATTTAAAGGGTTAAAATGAATGAATTTGAATGACATTTGAATGCATTTTTGATAGTTATGATCAGGACTGATGTCGGTAAAAAGATCTATGTCAGAGAAATCAATAAATAAATAAGTTTAGCATTTAGTATACTGAAAATAATTTAGCTTTTGTGTGTTTTTTTTTTCTCCATAAAAATACAAACTGGCATTAAAGCAAAAAATAAATAAACAAACAAATAAATAAACAATATATATAATGATATGTAATGTTTTTTAGACATGGACATTTTTGTCCTATGAGTAACCTTTTTTTAATTGATGCACAAAGGTTAAAGTTATACTGTATATTAAAGGGGGAAAAAAAATGATGACTAACCTGTAGTACAAGTCTAAGCAATTTATGCAACAGGCCTCAGCTGCTTTTTCAACAGATGGAGCCAAAAAAAAAACGACCGATCGCACACGCGGACGTGAAAGAGACCCGGTTTGTCTCAAAACTAGTGATGTTCGGTTCTTGAACGAATCGTTCTTTTGAGCCGGTTCACAAATCGAACTGAATCGAACTTTAGTAAAAAAACTGATGACTAACCTGTAGTACAAGTCTAAGCAATTTATGCAACAGGCCTCAGCTTTTTCAACAGATGGAGCCAAAAAAAAAACGACCGATCGCACACGCGGACGTGAAAGAGACCCGGTTTGTCTCAAAACTAGTGATGTTCGGTTCTTGAACGAATCGTTCTTTTGAGCCGGTTCACAAATCGAACTGAATCGAACTTTAGTTCCGGGTTGATGACGCAGGACGCACAGCCGAAGTAGCACGTCCAACCCAACAAGAACCGAATGAGCCGCTTCAACCAGCTGTCGAAGTTTGCCGAGGATTACCGAGGACTCTGATGAGTGAGTTGACGATACTGTGCAAGCCTGAGGCGCGTACTGGAAATATGCTTATTATGACCGTTATTCATTTACATTTTATTAAAACATGCAAAAACCTTTCTGTAAGTGATGTAAATAAATTTTACAATAGTTTATTGTGCATGCATATATTTAAAGTTGCTTAAGCGAAATCAAGGAGTTTGTAAGACAGGTTTATTCATTCTTTATACGGTAGACATGTAGAACATATCCGCGTTTGTGCATCAGTGTCTGTAATGTGTGCTGTAGCTGCGAAACTTTTAGGAATCTTTTCCGAGTTGTAAGCTAGTCAATATTGCTCAGTCAGTCGTATCTGAGGAGCCGCGAATGAAACTGTGACCACAAACACCATTAACTTAAGTGAATTATATGGTAATAATCAGCAATGTGCTTTCACACAAATGACTTATTTGAATTTTTCATCGATACAACACGGCACTGAGTTGTTAGAAAAGAAATGCGTAGAGACGGTATTGCTTGATGACGTCAGGAACCGATGAATCGGCTTTTTGAACCGGTTCAACGAGCCGATCTGTCCGAAAAGAACCGGTTCAATGAGCCGATCTGTCCGAAAAGAACCGGTTCAATGAGCCGATCTGTCCGAAAAGAACCGGTTCAATGAGCCGATCTGTCCGAAAAGAACCGGTTCAATGAGCCGATCTGTCCGAAAAGAACCGGTTCAATGAGCCGATCTGTCCGAAAAGAACCGGTTCGCGGAAATGAATCGGACTTTGCATCACTATTCCAAAGTAATCCAAACATCAAAACAAACGAAGAAAGACTTGACTTGAACAGACTTGACTAACCAGACAGCAGGCTACAACATTAATACTCGACAGGAGATAATGAGGCAACATGAGGGCTATTTATCTCAAACATTACAGGTCACATTACAAGAAACAACCAATGAGAGACAGGACACATGACAAGACAACCAATGGCAGGATAACAGTTTGTCTCGTAATAAACAGTGAGTGTGTGATATCTTATCAGCTCCTGCCGGCCGTGCTGAAGTTATCTTCCATCTGCAGCTGCTGTTGAGGAACAACAGTGTGGTCCTCCTTTATTTATTTAGCTGTTAACGGGTTTAGCCGCTCATTAACGCGCGTCTCAAGGACGGTGTGATATTCTCCTGACTTTCCCTGCAGCACGCTTGATAAAACTGACATTTTTCTATCTCTGGAAAAGCAATCGAACGGAGGGAGAGACTATTAAGGCTCCTGGGTGTTCTCCGTACGGGGATTTGCCGAGACCCAGACAGAGATGGGATTCAAAATGACAAGCTTCCCTCCGTCCTGAAAACACTGCAGCTGCTGCCGTACACTCCCAGGCCTGACAGCTTCAGAGGAACGGCTCCGTGTCTGTCAGCGGAAGCCCGACACGACAGACGATCTGCTGCAAACCCGGAGAACAGCCTCACCAAGCACGACTCAATTCACCAGCTGAAGCTGCCTGCAGATCTCAAGAGGTCACCGTTTAGATGAAGCGGACGTCTGGGTTGAGAAAAATATCACTTATAAGGCGTTTAGTTCCGGTGCTTGATTCTGATTGGCTGAGCCGTGTTCGAAGCTGTTGTAAATGACTCTACAAAGTAACATACACCTTTGTTTACGTTTGTCTGTTGCTCGGCAACCACTTTGTTGCAACCACAACTGTTTCTGAGGAGCTACATTGTTTGGTGGAAGAATACTGTTTTTATTAATATCATTACACTTTATTTGCTCCGTTTTATTTTGTGAAACCTTACTACGTATATGGAATAACAGTTTTATAAAAGCAATAATCCCCGTGAAGCCGTGGTTTACAGTGAATTTACAACAGCTAAGGGGCATTGTTATCTTGATAAGAGAGGATAACATGCAACCGCTGAAATAACTCTGTACCTGTCAAAAGAAGTTCTTTACTGATAACAGGGCTTGACACAAATATATCTGATATTTCAAGAGGGGCTCACCTGCTCATCAGAAAAACACACAGGACCAAGATGGTCAGATGATGGGAAAACAAAACACTGCGGTGAAGATTTCAAAACAACACGCGTATAAAAGACAAAGGAATCCGTTTTTGCTTTGGCTGAAGCTGAAAGTACTGAAATGAAGCGTAAAGAAGTAACAAATGCATCTTTTCTAATTCTACTTCTCAAGGTAAATCAGATTTTCCAATACATGCGCGTGAACGTAATTGCTTGCACAGCAGTTTGGTGTCTAAATAACTGATAAATAGCTCAACAGATAATGATTTGACACGATCTTCTGTAACCTACAATCAGTGCTGGGTAGTAACTGATTACATGGAATCCGGATTACGTAATCAGATTACACAAGCTAAGTACTTGTAATTAGATTGTATTACATTTTAAAATACTCGTAATCAGACTACAGTTACATTTTATTGATTACATGATTGCCTATTATTAACACAATAGCAATAAATAGTTCAGAATTGGATTCTCCCAAATTGTTCTTTTTCATCTTTTAAATTGTCCTTTCTAAAGTATGCTACCGCTTATATACATTCATAAATTCAGAAAAAACAGCATTGACCACTGGATGTACGAACATTTGCATGTTCAGGGTTCTCTGAAGTTGGTCAATGGTCACATGGACATCCAGGTAAACAAATAAAATATGCAATTTTTATTGCTATTGTTATTTTAAATCTAAGAGTAATCTAAGAGTAGTCAGATTATATTAACTAAACGTGTAATGTAATGGATTCCGTTACTAACTACAATTTTTGTCATGTAATTTGGAATCAGTAACAGACTATGATTTGTAAGTAAATCTACCCAGCACTGCCTTCAATTTTTATTTTTTTTTAATAAAGGCACAGCTTTAGGTGTTCATTACGAGTATCTTCACAACCATCATGCTATGCGTTCACTGTGAGGACAGCATTTCATCCATGTAGGCACAAGAGTATCTACATAAAAAAAGACATTGAATAATCAAACACCTAGCACCTTAGGCCAATGTCCTTGAGGAACATGGAAGAAGTTCAGAAAGTTGGTGCGCAGTGCAAGATTGCTTGATATAAAAATAGAAATTTCAAGGGAGAGTCTGTGATGGTTTTCCGAGGACTTCAAACGCAGAGCAACTTTGGAAGTGAGTTTGACCTTTGGCTACGGTCACGGGGTCAGCTTTTTGACATCAGCTGTGTCCTCATGGGCGCCGCTGTCGAAGGCTACACTGGGTTGGGTCTCCTGGGTCTCGTTCGTACACGGTGACATGGAGCTGTTTGATGACCCGAAATGATGAGTGTCCACCAGGAGCAGCATGGGCGTCCCGTTCCTCTTCAAGGCCTCGCTCATGGTGATGTGCACTTCCTCCGGCGTGACTCCCAGATCAGACGCAGACTTCCGGTTGATGCGCTCGTAGCTCTTGTCTTGGTTCTCAGGGAACGTCTCACTGTCTTGGAAGCGTCCGAACAGCCAGATGAAGAACCCGATGAGCACAAAGGCCGCCAGACTTGGGATGAACGCCAAGCATTTGACGTCCAGACTAGCGCCCACGTAGCGGCTGTGAAGGAACATGTCTCTCTGGACGTACGTCCGGTTGGTGAGGGGGTCAGTGTTGGTGGAGCGCCACTCCCAGGTCAGCGTGCTGCGGTTGAAGTTGCGCAGCGTCTCCGGATCCTCCACGGTGTAGATCTTCTCTCCTGGACCTACGTATTGACCGTATTCATAGGGCTTGTAGAAGATCTGGTTCTTCCACATGTTGAGGTCCAGGATGAGGACCATGAAGATGATTCCATAATTAAACCATTTCCCTGAGAGAGGAAAAAAAGGGAAGATGAGTGTGTTGGGAATTTATCCCAGTGTATTTCAGAGTATTTCAGAGCAACATACTCAAAACGCTTTAGCAGCTCTGTATAGCAACATCCTGGCAACTACCCAAAACACCCTAGCAACTGCATAGCAATGTCCTGGCATTTAATCAAAAAAACCTAAACAACTGCATAGCAACGTCCTTGGTAACTACCCAAAACACCCTATCAACTGCATAATGACGTCCTGGCAACTACCCAAAACATCACAGCAACTGTGTAGCAATGTTCTGGCAACTTCATACAAAACACCATAGCAACTGCATAGCAACACTCTGGCAACTACCCAAAACACCTTAGCAACTGCATAGCAACCATTAAACCATTTCCCTGAGGTAGAAAAATGGAAAATGTAAGATTAGCATGTTGGGAATTTATCCCAGTGAAATTGTGAGTCAGACGGCTGCTTGAGAAAGTGAAATAACTGAGTCACTTTCTAATGGCTTTCATTGTTAGCACACTCATGCGGGGTTCTTCTCGAATGCTAAATCACCGCGCCAAACAATAAGGTTAAAGACTTTTATGAATGGTTGAGCAGGAGGGCCATTTCCCAAGCCTCGAGGGAGCGATCATCTATTCCCAGGATGGCCATCAGGACCCTCGCTACAGTGAGCGAAACACAGCGAGATGGAAAAAGAGAAACTAAAGCGGTTCGCTCACACACTTCAGCAGCAGTCCGTCAGATTTACTGACTCTATTATATAAACGCAAGTTTACAGATGAGCAAATACTAATTAGTGTGCGCTGCCTTCTAACACATAATTATAAAGAGATGTATCTAACAAGCTAATATTCTGACAGCGTGTCCCTTTGGGAAAGGACTTAATTCATCCGTCCTGTCCCAAACGACAGTTTAGAGCACTACCACTTGATTCATTGGCATAACTGTGCTCACGGTGTGTTTGTTGTCATGCCCTACTTAAGGCACGAGTGTGCGGATTTACCCGTGATGTGAATGTGATACTCGTCTTTAAAGATGCGCTTGCACACGGGCAGTTTGATCTTCAGCTGCGTGGTGGAAAGGCCCGGGAGGTTCATGTCCAGATCGCCCATGAAGTGAGGAAACTCCCAGTCCTGGAAGAGGTAGAGCCAACAAACACCTGTTACTGAACACGCACCTCAAACGCAAGGATCTCCAATGAATAAACGCTTCAGGTGTTACAGGATGAGATCAAACATCACAGAACTACTGAATGGAGGGATGAAGCATGCTGAAGATGTCAAAAGACCCTAGCAACTGCATAGCAACTGAATCAAAACACTTTATCAACTCTGCATAGCAACATCCTGACAACTACCCAAAACACCTTAACATCTGCATAGAAGTTTGTGTGTGTGTGTGTGTGTGTGTGAGTGTGTGTGTGAGAGATTATGTGTGTGTGTGAGAGAGTATGTGTGTGTGTGTGAGTGTGAGTGTGTGTGTGTGTGTGTGAGAGAGAGAGAGTGTGTGTGTGTGTGTGTGTGAGAGAGTGTGTGTTTAGAAATCTGGCTTATTTCTGATGGTCTCTGTTGTTCTTTTCTCTCTGACATTTATAAGAGATCAGAAATGAATTGGCCGCTCTTCTCAACCACAGTCAGAGCAAAATCAATAAAACTGCGGCCGCAGCTCCAGGACAAACGCAAAAACAAACCAAATTAAGTGGCAGAGAGGCAGAATTATGTCGTTTCTTGGCTATTAAGCCTCATGTTTACAAAACAGAGAGTCTTTGATTTCTATGTGACTTGGCGGAAAGCTAATGAGGAGCTGCGTAATTACAGTGCAGCTCATCGTTTCGCCTCATTGACGTCCATGATAACTGTGTTACACAAAATTAAGTTTAAATTACATGGCATGAAACCAATGGAAGAGGTTGAAATGAAAGAGCTTGTGAATCCCGCCGGCTCGCGGCCGTTCTGGGTCTCTGAGTTAATTAGGCACTGAATAAAATAGCAGGAGCGTCACAGAGATTAACCATCACATGGAGCGAACACGGACAAAAGTGAGGTGAAATATCTAGGAGATGAAGCGACTGAGAGGGAGAATGAGAGACGCAGATACAGACACGTAACGACCGAGACTGAGGGGATAATTACAATCAGACAGGGAATGTCAACATATTTGAGCAAACACAGGTAAGTGATTGAGACACTGTAATCAGACACAGACAGTCTGAGATTTCAGCAGAGCTTCTGATTGGTCGAGTGAAGCTGAAGGAAAAACAAAACAATGACAAACGGGACTGCTGCTAAAGGCAAGGTATTTAAAAATATTTAAAAAGTTCAAATAAACTGATGAATAAAATGACATTAGGTGGGATTGTTGAGAAGTAAATTATAATAAATCAATGCAATAAAAAATATATAAAGATAATTTAACAAAAAATAAAGAATGCAAGATGTGACATTTGAAAAGTCAAGTAAATAAAAAAAATACAAAGGCTCGACAAAGGCAAGGAAAAATAGATTTAAAAAAGCTAAAATTAATAAATAAATTTATGTGAGATGGGACAGATAAAAATTAAATAAAGTAAAATGCAACAAAAATACAATACAAAAGAAAATGTATTCATTCAAAATTATTTAAAACAAAAATAAAGAATGTGAGATGTTTCAGTTGAAAATAAAATAAAATAAAATAACAAAGCCTTGAAAAATGCAAGGTCTACACATCTGTAAATAATACATTTAAAAAAAGCTAAAACAAATAAATAAATTGATGTGAGATGGGAGAGATGAAAATAAAATAAATAAAATAAAAAATAAATAAAATAAAAAGCCTTGAAAAAAATATGGGAAAAAAAACTTTTACAAATTAAAACAAAGGAATTAATACATTGATGTAAGAAAAAATAAAATGTGAAAATAAAGTAAAATCGAATAAAACACAATAGAAGAATGCATTAATTAAAAATTACTTAAAACAAAAAATTCAGTGTTAGATGAAAAGTTATAAAATAATTTAAAAAAAAAATGCAAACCAAAAAAAAAATTAATTAATTAAACAATGAGGTGCAATAGTTCAAAAAAGCAAATGTGACAAAAAAAAAAAGTAAGCTTTTGAAAAATTCAAGATAAAAAATAAATAAGGAAAGTCAAGACCTCTGGGGAACAAACTAATGACACAATGTAAGATGTGACAGTTCATAAGTCAATGATATAAAATAAAAAATAATTAAGTAAGTAAACAAACAAACATGACGTGAGAAAAGATGGTTGAAAAAGTAAAGGTGAAAACCTCTATGGAAACAACCATCTGAAGGGAAGAAAACATGAACATCATAAAATGAAAACAATAACCTTTCCTTTGACATCATAACCTAGATGTGCTCCGTTTGACAGAAACCTGGCTAAAACCTGATGATTACATTATTTTAAATGAGTCTACCCCCCAAGATTACTGTTATAAACATGAGCCACGTCTGAAAGGTAAAGGGGGAGGTGTTGCTTCAATTTATAACAATGTTTTCAGTATTTCTCAGAGGGCGGGCTTCAAGTATAACACGTTTGAAATAATGATGCTTCATATAACATTATCCAGAGAAACAAGTGTTAAATTGTCACTTTGCATTATTGACACACTATTTTCCTATTTTGATACTGTAAAGCTGCTTTGACACAATCTGTACTGTTAAAAGCGCTATATAAATAAAGGTGACTTGACTTGACTTTTTTATCTCCTAAGCACATTAAAGTTGGATTTAAAGATAAATGAATATCGCTTCAGATGAGAACAAGAATCTGGCCAGAATCTCCAGAAATCAGATGAAGCTGTGAGTGTGTGTGTGTGCGTGTGTGTGTGCGTGTGTGTGTGTGTGTGTGCGCGTGTGTGTGTGAGGTTATTACAGGACGAACAGCGAGAGGAGCTGTTGAGCTCGTATTAGCATATTCATGAGACAGTGACGCACTCCATTGTGATTTGCTGCCTGTGGCGATGTGGAGGACATTAAACAAGAATCAGTCAAGAGCGGACACACACACACACACACACACACACAGAGTCAATGAAGGAGCGACAGACGAGCTTGTGTTTGTACCTGCATGATGATGAGGAGGTCAAAGACCAGGATGAAGGAGGCCAGGAACGCTCTGGAGAGCTCGTCGCTCGGCAGGAAGCCGCGGTTCAGGTTATCCCACCTGATCCAGTCCGTACTGATGACCAGAACCACCACAGAGGTCAGAGAGATCAACACCGTCCTGACAAACACCAACAGCAGCATTACTCCAGTCTTCAGTGTCACATGATCTTCAGAAATCATTCTAATATGCTGATTTGCTGCTCAACAAACATTTCTGATTATTATCAATGTTGAACACAGTTGTGCTGCACAATATTTTTGTGGAAACCGTGATATATTTAATTTTTCAGGATTCACAGATGAATGGAAAGTTCAGAAGAACAGCATTTATTTGAAATAGAAATCTTTTGTAACATTATAAATGTCTTTACTGTCACTTTTGATCCGTTTAATGAATCCTTGATGAATAAAAGTATAAAATCTTAAAGTAAAATCTTAGAGTAATAAACTTACTCCAAACTTTTGAATGGTAGTGTATCAAGGTTTCCACAAACATATGAAGTAGCACAACGGTTTTCAAAAAATTAAATGAAAACAAAGAACAATTAAAACAAGGTTAAAACAAAGTAATTGATAAAACGAAGCATTTAAACATACATTGACAAGAGATGGGACAGTTGAGAATTAAATAAAGCAAAAAAAAAAAAAAACATAAATAAATAAAATAAAAATAAAATGCAATAGAAAGATTAATTAATTAATACTAATTTAAAACAAAAAATACACCAATGTGACAGTGTTGAAAATTCAATAAAATAAAATAAAATAAATTAAAATAAAATAACAATGGAAAAATACTAAAATAATTTAAAATAAATAAATAAATAAATTAATTAATTAATTAAAAAATTCAATTTAATGGTTGAAAAGTAAAGGTGAAAATAAAATAAGTTGTTGAAAAATTCAAGATAAAAGAAAGAAAGAAAGAAAGAAAGTGTCAACACCCATGGAAATAAATAAATAAATAAATAAATACAATTTAAGTTTAACATTTAAGTTAAAACAAACTAATATGTGAGATGTGACGATTGAAAAGTCAATAAAACAAAAAAAATTTAAATTCCACACAAAAAAATGCATGAATTAAAATTTAAGTTATTTAAAAACAAACAAACAAACAAACAAAAATAAAATACAAATCAGCTTTGCATCACAGGAATAAATTACATTTTAACAGATATTCACACGGAAAACAGCTGTTTTAAATTGCAATAACATTTCACATTTTTACTGTATTTTTAATGCAATAAAAGCTGAGCAGAAGAGACGTCTTTGAGAAACTATAAGAGTCATGATTATTCCAGACGGCTGTGTGTCGTTCATCAGCCTGTAATAAGATCTCTGGTGTGAAATGATGTCTGCCGTTTACTAATAGATGGAGCCGCTCGCAGGGAGCGCATTAATAAAGGACGAGCGCGTATGAAACATATCGCGTAATGCACTTCTGATGAATTCACTGAATAATACAGACAGCAGACCAGCTCTTCATGTCACTGTGAGCTCATTCATCAGAGCTGATCCCGAGTCAGTGCTTCTCTTCTCCAAGCCCTCGGGTGTGCTTCTGAGACTCTCTTCACATGAAGTCTTAAAGCTGCACAGCTGAAAGAGAGCTGCTTTAATCAGAACATGCTGCTAAAAACAGCAGATCAGTTCAGAAAGCCAGCGAGGAAAACACCAGCAAAATGAGTTTTTAATGAGTGTTTTTGTCTTCCTGCAGCGGCTCATTTCTCAACGTTTTTAACGTGTTTATATTTCAATATCTGAAGTATAATCTAAAACATAACACACTCACAGAAACAAGTCTTCCCCGCTTTTAAATAAATAAAATTATTTCTTAATCATTATACATCAGTGGATGTTCTTCTAAAGAAAATACATTATTGTTTACAGTTAAAACTATATATTGTAAACTAACTAAATATTATTTTGAATATACAAAATATTAAAAATTGCATAGTAATTATTAAAACATTTAATATCCATTTTTGAAAACTATTTCATAATAAAAATTGCAATTGCTATTTACCACTGAATTTAGTTTTGATTTTGATTAATTAAACATTATTTTAATAATTTATATATTATTATAATATAATATAATTTAATATAATAACAGTTATGTATTATATTTATATATTATAGTAATATATGTTAAACATTTTATTAACAATAACAAACTTTAAGTACATTTAAAATTAACTAAAATTATATTAAGAATTTATATTAATATAATATGAATGTGAACTACTGGCCATGCAAAAAAAATACACATTAATGAGTTTTTAATTAGTCTTTTTTTAATAAATAATAATATTATTTTTTTTATAATACCGTTATTGTGAATGATTCACAGTGCATGTTATTCTAAAGAAATTAATATTTTTTGTTTACATTTAAAATGGCAATCAACAATCAAGTTGTTATTAAAATATATTCGATATGCATTTCTGAAAACAATTTCATATTCAAATTTGCGTTAGTCATGTACCACTAAATTAAATTTTGATTTTGACTAATTAAACAGAATACATTAATAATTTATATTAATATAAAATGTGAACTACTGACGCTGCAGAAAATGACATTTTACTGTGTTTTAATTAGTCTTTGTTTGTCTTACTGCACCGGGAGATTTTCCCACATGTTTTTCATTTGTTTATTTTTCACAAATATATGAGCGTTTTTTTTTTTTTTTTATTTTTTTAATAATATTATTTCTTTATAATGTCGTTATTGTGAATGATTCATCGGTGCATGTTTTTCTAATGAAAATTTATTTTTGTTTACAATTAAACTTGTATCTTGTAAATTAAATCAAATTATTATCAATTTCATATTAATCTATATTTAATTAAAAAAATTAAATAATTGCATATTAAAAATTGCAATAGCCAATATTTACCACTACATGTAGTTTTGATTATGACAACTGAAACACTGTATTAATCATCAGTTGCACACACACGTCATGATGGTCTCACCGGAACAGCACGATGCGGTTGTGTCTCCACAGCTGTCTGGCGCTCCGGCCCCAGTCCGGGTAATGAGTGTCCTGCAGCATCATGTCTGTTACCTTAGAAACCAGCAAACAAACACACACACACTCCGTATTTACTTTGAGCTTCACAGTGACTGAGCTCAGAGTCATGAAAAAAGAAAAGCTATTCAATATCCACAATATTTACATGTTATAAAGTCATACTTTATTTATTTACTTTTTATTATTACTTTTTAATTCTTAACAGGATTATTATTAACACAAAAAAAGAACACAAAAAAAGAAAACAAAAGAAACAAACAAAAAGAAAAAACAGAAACACAATAATTAGAAAAATACATATCATTTGAAATAAAATTAACATTAACACACACACACACACACACACTCACACTCACACACACACACTCACACTCACACACACACACACACACTCACACATACACTCACACACACACAAACGCACACACACACACACACAGATCTGAAGTACACCTGCGCTGGCGTGTTGGGGAAAAGCTCTTTTCGAGACGCTGAATGTTTTATTGACACGACTGTCAGCGTCTATAACGCCGTTTGGAAACAGACAGCAGAGAGAAGCTGTGTCGGTCAGTTTGAGTGTCACTCTTGTGACGAGATTTTGAATTAATTCCACTTTTTAATGAAGCATTAAAAGTCAACATGGGATCAAAAGAAGTTATTTAAATACATTTAAAAAAAAATATATCTTAAATATACACTACACATAAATATACACTATATATAGTGTATAATTATGTTTAGATATATTTATAATAAAGTATATGAAATGTATATTTAAAACTTTTTAAAGTATTTAAATAGAAATACACTACACATATACACTATATATAGTGTATAATTATGTTTAGATATATTTATAATAAAGTATATGAAATGTATATTTAAAACTTTTTAAAGTATTTAAATAGAAATGTTTTGATGTAATTTTGCAATTATATACAGTATATATATATATATATATATATATTTTTTTTTTTTTTTTTTTTAAATAATTATAAATATATCAATGCAGATAAACAAATAAAATACCACAACTTGTTATATTTTAGACATTTTGTTTTATTTTACTGCAATAAAAGAAGGTAATTGTAATGCAAATATTTAATTCTTTGTATCAGGTGTTTTATTTTGACTGTTTTTATTAAAAAATATATATATATTTCAAATGTACATTATGATTTAATTAATTATTAGTTTTCACAAACTCAGGAAACCCTGCTCTAAATCTCTGTCTTTGTAAATTACAAGAAAGAATATATATTTCTCATAAAACAATTTCACAAAGTCAACATGAAATCAAAATCCACCACATTTAAAAAAAAAAAATTTAATTCATCAGTGAATATGATTCTAGATCAGCCATTCCCTTATTGTCAGTTTTTCTACAATACTTACTTGAAGTCCTTCTGAGATTTTAAGTCAATATTTCAATATTTGAACAACAGATGTGCATGTCCTCGGTTCTCTGATTTCAGTTTATGGTTAATAACATGCCACATTTGTGCTGTTGTAGAAAAGGCATAACATATTAAATAGCAGGTAAACAAATTATTTTTTTAAATAAGTCTTATATTTTGACCATTTCTATTTAAAAAAATATTTATTTTCATTTGACATTTTTATGAACTAATGAATTATCTTTCACAAACTCCGGAAACGCTGCTCTGAATGTCTGTCTCTGTAAATCTTGCATCAAAATGTAAAACTTTCTCCATCAAGCTTTTCAACCATTCTCATACAGAACGGCCACTTTTCGCTCTACAATCCGGTTCTGAAGCACGGAATCA